CTACACAGATGGGGTTCATTTTTGCTGAACATTATTGGGTATGATAAAAAAAGTTCTAGCTGTAGCGTTGGTAGCGTATAGTATAAAAGGCGCTCTTTGAGTATAAGAGGTGTTCTTTGAGCAGGCATGAAAAACAGCGCAAAATAAGGTCAAAATCCAAGTACTTCACTTGGCATGTGGTGAGCTACATTGGAGTTTCCTGGTCATCTCCGCATGTCTCTTCAGCGGGTCCTGAATTTCTCCGCTCGCAGTGGCCGATGGTGTGGTGTACCTCACTGTATGCCAAGTAAGGCACTAGAATTTTGACCTTATTTTACGTTGTTTCCATGCCTAGTTGAGGAACACTCATAAACTATATGTACTCAGCTTTACAGCTGAAACAGAGCCGAATGAGATGATTAAAGTTGCCTATTCTGAGCAATTTGTTTTTTTCCTTTTTGGCATCCCCTGAAATAATTCGTCCGAATAACAGTACGTTGACAGTTGCACAGAAGAATAACCAAATATTTTTATCACCAAATTCAACGCGACCTCAAACTTGGGTAATTAAACAAAGTAGCAACGGAAACAACGACGAACAACAACGAGCGAGTTAGAACATGATAAAACGGCTCATAATAAACGATAAATTTATCCCCCTCTATAGGTCGGATGTGCGGCGTCCTAGCGTCGTGGTGATGTGCAGCGGCGTCGTCGATGGAGAGGGATGTGAAGACTTGTGGGCCTCGGAACATTTTGGGCCCGAGAGTGGGTTTTCCCGCCTTTCGTGCTAGTACGTGATACTGTACTTGCATTGGAGCGCGTTTTTTTCCTGCGTCTGCCCCTGGAAGATCGATCGCGTGTCCGCGATATCCCCAGTAGCGTTTAGCAAAAATAAACCTCACCATCATGCAATAAACCGTTCCAAAAAAGCTCACCACATCCTGAACGACCTTCCTTGTAAGAATAGTAAGGACAGACTGCTTCCTTACTAATTTTACTTACACACAGCGTGAGCTAGGGTCCGCACCATGGGCCCTCGACCTCTGAAGAAGACGAGAAGTTCGGAACGTTAGGCCAGAAAGGTTTCATCTAACAACCTCGTTTGGCAGAAGCAAGTGATTATTTCATAAGTACGCAAAAAGGCAGGAAAGTTTGCTGTGTTCACTAGGTTTCGCGCGTGATGCCCCGTGCGACTTTGCCAAATGGGCCCTTATGCTTTAGTAGGGTAACTCCCAGCCTTAACCCCATTTCTTGGGCGTTTTGACGATCGACCTCTTCCGAAGCTCGGGGCTCAGGAATAGGCAAAACTGGTTGCCTCCACTTTGAGATTGTCGAAAATAAAGTTGGTTGACTAAACTTGTTCCCGGGACAGACTTCTGAAGTAATATTCAGAATTCTGTCTCGGTAAGTATCGCGTCGCTACTCTGATAAGTATTATTTCCTGATGTAGAACCGATTAAAGTTAGGTGGGACTTGGTCTGCACCGTTCAGCATACGCTTCCCAGCCGTACTTCTCGATTCTTTGCCGAATCATCCTTGCTACATAGGCCGAGTAATTGTTGTGGAAAAAACCTTAAAGGCATCTCGCAGTTTTGGATCGTCTCGGAGGATTCCCTCAGCGACTTTGGACGTCTGAAGCACTTCATCGCCATCACAGTGGTGCCACTTTCATCGCAACTGCCCCCCAAATCACTGCACGCTTTTTCCTTACTGCATTTAGGTTTCTGTGGTGCCTACTGTTCTTGGAGCAATCACTGATTCCTGCTTGCATTGTTGTTAATGCCCGCTTGTCTGCCGCGCAAGTGGTGCTCGAGTGTCTTGATTTGCACAGCTTTTTCGATGGGAGCATCGGATGTCATTAGGTCAGACAAGCGACATGAAGGAATATTCGATTTTTGTTACTTGTCTATTCTCAAACATTACCACCTAAAATCGTCGTCATTAGTGGGCGCGACGTCGCGTGCGATGCCCACTGGCGCGGCGAATTATAACTCTCTTGCCACATACGCGAAGACACCAACAAAGACCTTCTCCAATTTGTTGAGCTCGAACAGGACCCTTTCGAAAATATTAGTATATAGGAAACCAAAAGCATGAGATGACGAGACGCCGTAATGGCTGAACCAGCAATATCCGGCCCGGCCGGACCGCTCGGTTTTGACAGCGGATCACTGAGCAAATATTATTTTTTAATGATGGAGTTTCTCCGTCCTATATGTGCTCCTCAAGGGCTATTATGTCAAAAAGGAGCCATATGTATTATTTATATGGTCGCGTGGCGTGCGGCTGTCAGGAGGCCTGCGAATTGAGCGCTCGCGGCTCAGACCCTGCGATCCAAAGTGGGCAGGACATGCTGTTCTTTCCTAATATGTTGCAAACTCATAATTGAAAAAATATCATTAAATGGAGAGCACGTCCGTCTACGAGCTGTGAAAACAACTTAGCGCTGTCTTGAGCCGATTATTAGTTAAGAGGTTCGATTCCTGCAGCATACGACGTAGCTCTTCGATTTTCGTATCGAGTCATTTTCTCCTTCAACGTGCTGTCCAGTTTTTCTTCAATACTAAGAACAATAAAATCTCATAATACCTCTGCTTTTCCCAGGCAAAAGTACTTCTTCCTTGAGTGATCCCACAGTCATATCGATTACGTCTTTCTTTTCTTTATTTTCATTATTTTTTATTTTTATTTTTATTTTTTATGCTCACAGTTGCTTACTTAAATTAATGATTGGTTCTTATATGAAACATGGATTTTCTCCCAATCAGAGACCGAAAAGTTGTTAGGAGAAGGCCGAGTTATGGACTAAATTCTGGTCCCAAGACAGGAATCGAACCTTGACCTTGTGCATGTTGGGTGGGCTAGCATGCTGTCTATTTACCAAGAATAATTAGTCATCCCATCAAGTGCCCTTCGTTTTATTCAAATAAAACAAAGATAAGAATAGATAAAAACGTATATTTGACTTGAGTTTAGTACCCCTAAATCCCTCACCAATGACCCATTCCCAGTGCCCCGGAAGCTTTTGGACCTCTGGTACTTTCGATTTTTCAACAAGTGCGAGTTGAATTGTTGCTGATGCCAATTTCGCGCTGGAAGATACTGCAACGCAAAACAAACTCACACGCTGATCATTTGTTTTTATTATCAGCAGTTAGCAATCGTTCTTCTTTCATGGTTTCTCACACTAAAATAAAATATTGTGAAACTGTATACTGTTTTCACCTCGACTCACCACTTTCCAATTTCCAAACAAATTCCCACATTTCAAACCAAACTCACCTTATCAAATTCACGTCCGCGCTGATAAGTAGCCGTGTCTCGCGGAGGCTCGCGGTGATGTCTAGCGTGATCTGGTTGGTGAATTCTCGTCTAGAAGTTGTGTGAATTTGTGTGAATACATCGTAGAAATCTGTGTCGGAATTTGCTTGAATGGTGATCAAAGTAAACGGTACAGGGGGGGCAAAAAAGTCACTTCGACCGAGTCACATATCAGCAAAGTTTCGCAGCCCAGACAGAGGATGTGGATACGAGTACCAGGGGAAAGATACCCAGATGTTCCCCCAGGAGGTGATAAGCTAGGAGCAGCTCCCCCCATCACCTTCCATCTACACCAAGAGGTGAAGTCATCCCCAGTTGCAGCGCTGACTGCGAAGCAGACCTTTGAATTCACGTCACCTCAAACAGTGCTAACTTCTATATGAGTCACCCAGAGTTAGCTTCCCTGAAGACCAGTACTCACGACCTGGAAAGACCTCCACATCGAGAGCTCCGACAACGTCCCAGTTTAGACATATCTTCACGCAGTCCCAAGGCGTTGGTGATGTATAGACCAGAAGTTCCTGGAATGAGACCGATATTTCTTCCTGAACCGCGGCTGAAGGTGCGCGACGGTTACATGAGCACTCGTGAAGAATATTCTCCGCACCAATGTCGTTGCCCGTACCTCTTTAAACATTGTCTGCGCAGCATGGTCACCACATGGAATCAAAGGCAATGGGAAAACTCTCCTACTTGAATGAAGCGTTTAGTGCCTGAAAAA